GAGGTGCTTCCACTGCATTATCTTTGTGATTATAAGCATTGTGGTATTTCAAATCTATTTTATTGTCTGGCGATACCAGCTATTATTTTAACTTAACTTGTATTTTTTTGCAAACAACGTTTTCTATTCCATATTGGTTTATGTGTCTTAGCACCAGCAGAGTAGAGTCTTACACAAACAACAAGCATTCACGTATTTGTTTTCTCCAACCAAAGGTGTTTCTTTATTATTTTGATGTACAAATTTGAGAAAGAGTTGTTTAAGTGAACTACTTAAAAATTGTCTTTCTTTATTATTAATGAAAATCATTAATTCTTTGGCTTTAATGATTAATTATGCTAAGAAGTAACATAGGTCTTTTATTCCCTTAAACACTTATGTAAAAGATATCCATAACTTGTATGTTTATTTCTACAGTTATCTTTATAGTGTTTATATTTGGTATGAGGTGATTTAATACTATGCATCTGCCTGGTCGGATTCTTTTCAAGACAAGGAAGGATTGGTTTGGAGTTCATTTAAGCTTACATTGTCATCTGGATAGAGATACACGTCCAGAGTTCATGAATTGCTAAATGATTTTCAGCCAGTCAGATTCTTTTCATTGCTTGTAATGAGAGAACACTGCGTTTTGCCACTGACTACTATGGAATCTAGACATGACCTTAGATGACAAATCTGGCAGTATTTCATGTTACTATTCAATAAGCATCCTATATTGAAACCGATGATGTTTTTGCTAATTTTCTGTTATATATAATCTAGCTATAATATGTTCGATGCTTTAACCTTAGATGATTGTTGGGCTTAAATCCTTCGCTAGCATTGATTGAATTTCTAGGGTAGCCTTCTGCCTAAGAATTCAACATTTCCCTTCAGGATTAAATCCCTGGCAGATTATTTCCACCGCAGGGGCCTGATGCTAGTAATCTATTCAAGTGTTGGGTAAATGTATAACAGGTAATACTGCCCGTTGGTTTACCCATTGCATTGAAACTGTTATATTTGGAACTTTATAGATTGACAATTTCATTCCTTTCTTTTTTTGTAGTTTAGTATTTAGAGTGACTATTCTTATGGGCAGTTTGGTGGATAAATTTGAACATAAATAATGTCAAATCATTAAAAAGTGTTATTAAATTGAAGCTTCAAAAAATGTTCCCAAACGGGTAAATACTTGTGTTACATTATACAAGGTATGCATACCTGAAATGATTGGTTTGAATTGTATTTTACCTTTTAAATTAGAGGGAGGTGAAGTTTCACAAACGCCGTAATAGGGACAACATAACCATATGTAGAAGGAAACCTTCAATTTCAATCAATATCACTGAATAGGAATGGATTAATGTAGAAATTTGCTTTTATTCTTGCTTTCTGTATAAGAATATAATTAGTTTGTGTTATTTGACAATCTGAAACATTGCGGAATTCCAAGGATTCTAGATAGGAATGTGGTTTATTATGCTTTAACTATGGATGTGAAGTACATTTTATTTTTCTACTTTTACATGAAGTGCGTTTTTGAGCTTTTCCTATTACATGCAAAAATGGTGCCTTTGCAGGTGATTACGTGATGACCTTTTGAGAGATCACCAGTATATATTATCCGGTAAATTAGTTTTGAAAACCTACATTGTTCTAAACTTTTCTTTGATGATAATGTATGCTGATACATTGTGATGTTTAGTGTTTTTACTTTAATATTCTGGAGTTGAAATTTGGGTTACTGTTCTTTACATTTTTATCATTAAACCTTATTATGACTCGAACCAAAGTGGTAAATGATGACTAATAGCTTGCAATTTCAGTTGATAACTTCAATATTTTGACATTGATAATATTTGTTCTGAGTTTAATATATATTTGTATCATTAAACCTTATTGTGTAATCAAGTATGATAATATTTTCATCTTCAATTTCAGTTTTATCCTAGTGTGTTGTACATGAAATTCAAATGGAAGATGTATTGGGCATGGACGTAGACAGATTGACAGAATGGTAGAGGTTACGGATGTGGCCGGTTCCAAGCTATCCGATCAATGTTCTTTTGTTCCTCGTGATGAGCACTTTCTTCTGAGTTTAACATTTCTTTAGCAATATCAACATCAACATGTTCTTGAATATGTAGAAGTGTTAGTTTTTAGTTGTGCCGATTTAAAATATTTGTGTTGTAATTTTTGAATATGTGAAACTTATGATTTCAGTTATTAAATGAATATAGTTGTTTAATATTTTGTTTATTTATAAATACCAATATAATTTTATTAATATGAGATATTATATTATTAGAATCAATATGATTTTATTATTATGGATATACACACACATGATACCAATGAGTCATAAATATGTATGATACCAATGTGTCAAAACATTTTTTGATATTAATGTATCATTAGTTCAGATGATGTCTAGGAGTCATTAAGAATAGCAACACAAATGTATCATTGTTCTCTATGATGTTTTTATGTCATAATTTTGTGACACAAAAGTGATTTGTTAACTGTGACACTAAATTTTGTGTCACTTGCCCCGCTTGTCTGTGACACTTTCAGTGTGTCACTAAATCGTTTAGTGACACTAAATTAATGTCACTATAAGCCATTTTTTTACTAGTGTATGTCGAGCACACGTGGAGAAATAGACAGACTTCTTGAGGAGGGAGAGTACCCTCTCATTCATGGAGATAGGTTTGCTGTTAACTTATTCCAAGGTATTTTTCAGCGCTATTGCAACCAAGGTTGCAGCATTGCCATGGAGGCTTGGCCGTCAAAGTGTCCTTGCAGCCCTCAAGGCTTCCTTAGCTCGCCTTGGACTCTCTTCAGTTGAACTCTATCAGCTCCATTGGTACAAAGCTACATCCCAATTCTGAATGTTTAAAACTTAACTTCTCAGTAATTAAAATCAATATGGGGGGTGTTTGTATCTGATTCTTAAAACTGTTTTTGCTCCTTGAGGGAGCAAAAGCAGAAGCCGTATTGTTTGGATGAAATCACAGAAGTGATTCTGGTGCTCTAATTTACTCCTAGAATCAGTTTTTTTAGAAGCTGAGGGTGACCAGCTTCTGAAAACTGATTCTACTTCTACTTTAAAAAGAAGCAGAACCATAATCGGTTCCAAACACCCCCTATGTTGCACTGCTAACAGCACTTAATTCCATTTTCAGGCCTGGAATATGGGGAAATGAAAGTTTTCTTGTTACCTCTTGTTTCTAAACCGACTCCGAAAATATAACTTATGTCCTTGATTAAGGGAAATTACGTCCACGAAGGAAAATGATGTAATATTGGGGCTAATGATATTGTCTTGGATTTTTGAAATAGTTATTGTAAGATTACCTTGGCAATATTTTAGGTTATTCTGATTTCATTCTAGCAAATTAATGACATAAGTAATGCTCCGTTGGCCCCTAATTTTAGCTTCCTATTTTTGTCTTTTAAAGTAACAATATTGTTTCCTAGTTTCACTTTTCAAAGTCAATACTCGTAATCTTTGAGTATTATAATTTTCAATTATACGTCCTTACTTGAACAGGATCTGTTCTATAGGCTCATACCTCTGAATCCTTAAGTTATAAGAAATCATGACAATTTTAACAACTTTAATTTATTCAATTGTTGTTCGTTTTAGAGGTTTTATGGACCAAGAATTGTTTGTTGACACCCTTTTCGGAACATTACACTCTTGAAGAGAAAAATCTTTCAAAAAACACGACATAAATTTTTCAAAAATCACATATAGTCAAGTAATTCACACAGATCTCTGCAATATGATACACATTCATTTGTATATCAAATCTTAAGATAAAAAAATACTTACCATAACCAGATAAATGCACATTTTGTAACAGGAAAATGACCATCATGAATGTGGAAATAGTATAAACCTCATAAACAACAAACAAAGCTCATATAAAAAGATTGAAGAACTAATAAATGATCATTTTTAATTTAGGACTCAAAATGACGTGGAAAAACAAACTTAGATATGCCTTCTTATCTTCTAAAACAAACCTCCCATGTTTATCCCTTGTTTGCATTTTCAATCCGAAAGTCCATAACTTACTACTACCTCCGTCCCGAAATGAAGTTCATGTTCACTATTCATTGGCCAACTTAAACCACTCATAATATTTTACTTTATATATCAATGTTTTATCAAATTTAAATTTTCTTGAACAGACTTTGTAGCAGTTTTTAATGTAGTTTCTGAATATGTAAATTTTATTTACAAAAAATAATCCGAGTGTGAATTGGGATCGAGTTGTTTTATTTTCAGTCAAGAATCGTAAACCGAACGGGAACTTCTTTACGGGACAGAGGGAGTATTAGTTAAAAGCTTCATTTATTTACCAAGTACTTCCTATTAAGTTTCTTTACCTCAAAACTTAATAAATGATAATTTCTCAAAAAATCCGTATATATGAATTAGTTCATCAAGTAGAAATAAGTGAGAAAGAATCAAATGAATTAACCCAACATTTAAATTTTACTCTTGAAAAATTTGTATTCAAGTGACTAATAAAATTAACTTACTGGATTTTTCTTAGTTGATACTTCCTCTGTTCCGCAAACAAAGTTACCCTTTCCTTTTTTTGATGTTTCAAAAACAAAGTCACACTTCCCTTATTTCGGCAAAGAAATCCACTTCAAAACAGTGTCAAATAGTGTCTAAACAATGTCTAAACAGTGTTTTCTACAGTAAAATCAATTTATTTCCTTAATCCTAGAGAAGTCAAACCGTGACTTTCTTTGCGAAATGGAGGGAGTAATTAAGAAGCCTCCCTCATTAAATCTAGTATAGTGTGTTAAGGTGGACCCATGGTTGTTAATCGAGATTGTGAAACGGATGGACATTGTAAATCAAGATTAGTGGAGAAAAGAGTTGGAGACTTTGTGATGAGTAAGAGAGAGGGTGATAGGGTGGAATTGCACACGCTCTTGACATGTCCACAGCTGCATCCACAAGTTCTTCCAGTATTATTATGCGGCTAATGGCACGCCCTCGTCATCTACTTCTCCTTTTTCCTCTTATGCCACCGCATACCCTCTCTCAGTCTATCTGCTGCGTTCTTTTGGATTTGGAGTGGAAATGGCTCTATATTTGAGTACCGTGTGTTCCAGCCCCTCAAGACTATGCACATCCCATGCAGTTCCACCCAGAGCCATAGCTTCAGGAAGCAGTCTTGCATTGAGAAGTGAGGAAGAGCAGAAGGTAAAGCTTGGTGGGTCCGGATTGATGGTCACCAAGCTTGGAATTGGGGCCTGGTCTTGGGGTGACACCAGCTACTGGAACAATTTTGAATGGGATGGTAAGATGGTAGAAGAAGTAGTTTTTTGCCGGCCACAACTTGAGTAGAAATGCAATTTTTGGATGCACATTTCATTTTTGCTGAAGAATTTGTCTGAAGAAACATATAGTTACTAATTATTGTTTTTTCCCGTGCAATAATAATAATAGATTGCATAATGTGATGGTTAATTGGTTATCGTGGCAAATGTTTAGGCATGTGAATGTTCCTTTTTCCAAGAGCACTCTATAACTTTTTTGGAAGATAAACAAACTTATGATAGTTGAGAGCTCACGAAAAAACCAGTCTTTGTTTTTCTAATATGTAGAATTTTATTCCAAATGATTAACCTGAGAAGATGAGTAATTCAAAACTTTCTTTGTGACCTATTTGGCCAGTATGGGATCACTTAACATGTCCTGGAGTTCGTTAAAGCAGATCAATGTGACATCTGTGTGGATTTCAAGTCATAATAAAAATGGGTAGCTCGTTTGATTTTAATGGATCCAATACTATATTAAGACTTCAACTTTTCATTTGAAGAAGTTAAATGGATAGAATGAGTACTCCAAGGCCTTATATCTGAGTTATTTGGGCAGTATGGTGGTGTAACCATTGTTGTTTATGACTTATACTAGTTCAGCTTATGTGGTATCCACGTGATTTCATTCTCATCCCAATTATATTATCATAACGAAGATAGAAAAATGAAGGCTGCAAAAAGTGCATTTGATGCTAGCCTCGATTGTGGAATTACACTCTTTGATACAGCCGAGGTTTACGGATCAAGGGTATGTATAGATCTTTTTTAATTCCTAGTGTCCTTTGGACTCCATTGGTCCAACAGTCCAAACAGTTAGCAATGAAAAACCATTTCTTGATACTTGCAGTTCTCATTGGGCGCAATGAATTCTGAAACTCTACTTGGGAGGTGAGCTACAATTCTACTGCTTTTATATTTTCTCAATCTACTGTCTTTGACTCTTTGCATGTATTAAGTCTTGTAATTTTATTCTAAATGATCGATAGATAGTTAAATGTCTTATATATTTGTCAAGTGTGAGTTGACTTACATTCATACATTCCTTTTTTTATTTTTGTTTGTTCATTAAATTTTCATTATATTTCTGACTGAACTCCCAAAAAGATTTATGAAGGAAAGAAAAGAGAGGAGTCCAGATGTGGAGGTGGCTGTCGCAACCAAGTTTGCAGCATTGCCATGGAGGCTTGGCCGTCAAAGTGTCCTTGCAGCCCTCAAGGCTTCCTTGGCTCGCCTTGGACTCTCTTCAGTTGAACTCTATCAGCTCCATTGGTAAAAAGCTACATCCCAATTCTGAATGTTTAACTTAACTTCTCAGTAACTAAAATCAATATGTTGCGCTGCTAACAGCACTTAATTCTATTTTCAGGCCTGGAATATGGGGAAATGAAGGTTTTCTTGTGACCTCTTCTTTTTAAACTGACTCCCAAAATATAACTTATTTAGTCCTTGATTAAGGGAAATTACGCCCTCAAAGCAAAACGATGTAATATTGGGGCTAATGGTATTGCCTTGGATTTTTCAAATAGTTATTGTAAGATTACCTTGGCAATATTTTAGACTATTCTGGCTTCATTCTAGCAATAATGACATAAGTAATACTCGGTTGGCCCCCGTTTTATCTTCCTATTTTTGTCTTTTAAAGTCAGTACGACAATACTGTTTCCCAGTTTGACTTTTTATAGTCAATACTGGTAATCTTTGAGTATTATAATTTGTAATTACAATAATAAATCTTATAAATTGTTAATATTTAATTTTGAAAGTATATTTTAAAACAAATTGCTCATTAGTATTTCCATATCCTAAAATTGTACTTGATGAGAAAGCAATGGTCAAAGATGATGTAGTTCGCTTTGAATAGTCAAAAAAAGAGGTTAAATGTAGGATGAAGGGAGTGTCAATATTTCATGAACAAAACTACATAGGAAAAGTTTGATTCACATAAGTAATGTCGCCTTAGATAAATGGACTATATATTTGAAAATAATGTGAGACTACATGAATGTAAGATTACATTAATCTTTTTGGCTGATCGAATGTGATGTTACTTATGTTGTTAATTGTAAGAAACAAAGTCAATATATAATATTAATCCATCCGTCCGAAATGTGTCTTCTCATTTTCCTTTTGGGGTGGTCCTAAATATTTCTTCCCATTTCTTGTTAAGAAAACAGTTGTGTTTCCCTTTTTTTAAATAAACCCAAGTATGCAATTTTATGTTCTTAATAAGACCGTCAAGTCATGGTAAAAAAATAATTTAGGACTGGGGGAGAATCCGGAGATACATAAGTAATCCTATACTACTTAATATACTAATATCTAATGAGAAACCCAAGATAATCATATTATATCATGCGTTATCTGTTTTTCTCCCGTGACAGTAATTTATCCCAGAAATCTAAAAACACAACCCAATAAGGACCTTTCTCACATTACCAAGTTAATATAGGATCTTCGAACCAAACAACCTGTTAAGGTAATCTTGCAAATCCCTACTCTGATGTTACCATACAGGAGGTTAACCTACCCAAGGTAAGCTTTCATTTGTATGGACCAAACACCCTTAGAAGCTAATAATCTATTATGCTCCAAAGTAGAAAGAAACCATTTTCCAATTCTTTTCAGGTTATATTGATGGTTTAGGAGATGCAGTGGAACAAGGCCTTGTTAAAGCTGTCGGAGTATCTAACTACAGTGGTCTGCTACTTGTATTTATCTATTCCATTGTCACCCTCCTTCCCAAACAAACCTTTTTTCTAGTGGTTGTCTGGTTTGTATTTCAGAAAAGCGCCTTCGAAATGCATACATGCAGCTTAAGAGAAGGGGTATACCCCTAGCGTCAAACCAAGTGAATTACAGCCTGATATACAGATTACCAGAGGAGAATGGTGTGAAAGCTGCCTGTGATGAACTAGGAGTCACTTTAATTGCATACTCACCCATTGCTCAAGGTGGGGTTGATATTCTTATGCTCTCCATTTTGCTCTCAAGCGGACACATGAAATATTAAATTGGGTATGATTCCCTCTAAAAAGAACCTTAAGAGGTGTGAGGTTTACCTCACACTTAACACACCCATCAACTTTAGAGCTAGACAACGTGAAGATTGGATATACGGGTCAAGCCGATCCCAAATGGGTTACCTTAAATCATGTGTCTCAAACAAACTAACCCAATTGAACCAGACTTGATACAATAGTAAATTGGGTCTAACTCGGACAAAAAAGATCTGAGAGGTAAGAGGTGCGATTTATTTCTCACATAGGGCTCGTTTGGTAGTTTACATGTTAACTCTTTGCAAGCGAAATGATTGCATGTAAAGTTTAGGAACGTAATCACTTCGCATGTAAAATAGATTACATTGTTTGGCTAGATGTGCAATTTATTTTTACTTTGCACACAAAGTCATTGCGGTGCGATTTATTTCTCACATAGGGCTCGTTTGGTAGTTTACATGTTAACTCTTTGCAAGCGAAATGATTGCATGTAAAGTTTAGGAACGTAATCACTTCGCATGTAAAATAGATTACATTGTTTGGCTAGATGTGCAATTTATTTTTACTTTGCACACAAAGTCATTGCGGTGCTTTATTAAAAGAATGCAAAATATTTTACCACCATTCCGCCACGTAAAATACTTTACATGGTACACTGCAAAATGTTTTTAAAAAGTGCTCTACAGTTTACATTAAATAATCAAACTAAATGATGTAAACCTTTTACGTTCCTCCACTTCGCATGCAAAGTAATTATTTTACATCCTAATATATTAACATAGATATAGTAAACATTTGATGTGGATTTAACATTAAATAAATCTTGGCACAAGAAACAGTGCCTATTAGCCCTTCCACTGTTGATATTTTTCACATTTTTGTCCGTCCACTGTAAAATTGACAAAAAAGGGTTATATGATATTACATCCGTCCCATTGAAAGGTTCTCATGACAAAACGGCACGATTATTTATACAATAATTAAATACGGTAGTTCGAGTATATTTTGAGATTTAATTTTAATAGGTATATAATATAATGGGGTTAGTGTTGATAACTGTGATGTTATAAATGTATTATTTTAATATTTAATGATTAATACTCCCTCCGTCCCATTAACAGATTCCCACTTTCCTTTTTTGGACGTCCCATATAAAGGTTCCCGTTTCCATTTTAGGAAATAATTAACAATCTTAAGTGACAAATTAATCATTAAATATTTAAAATATTACATTTATAACATCACAATTATCAATACTAACTGCATTATAATATATACCTATTAAAATTATTTCTTAAAATATACTCTAAGTACTTAATATAATTATTGTCTAAATAACCGTGCCGTTTTGCTATGGGAACCTTCCAACGGGACGGAGGTAGTATGTCATTTAAGATTTTTAATTGTTTTCTAAAATGGAAATGAGAACATTTATATGGGACGGAGGGGGTATAATTCAGGTATTAACTCTTACTGTATAAAGCTAAAACATATGTTTCAGCTAGTTGTTTGTAGGCCTTTCAGTGAGAGATTAATGAGTTTTCTTATGCAGGTGTTCTTACTGGAAAGTATAGTCCAGAAAATCCGCCAACAGGTCCTCGCGGACAGATTTATACTCCCAAGTTTTTAACCCAAGTATAAGGCTTTCTTATTAGTGAATTATCTACCTTGTTATGGCATTTTTTATGTGTCTAACTAACTATATTTTGTGCTCTTCTTCAGTTGCAACCATTGATAACCCGAATAAAGGAGATAGGAGGAAGCTACAAACGAACTCCAACGCAGGTGCACTTTAAAACATTCAATATCTGAATTTGGGTAATTATTGTCATCTCTGAATTCTCCGTGTGGGAGAGCATTGGCAGGCTAAAATCTCAAGGCAATTTGACACTTTTGGGGCCATATGGAGTTTTTAAAAAGCTCCAAAAGTGCAATCCCAAAAGATAAAATTTAATTTCCAAAACCTACACATAATGGAGCATTTGGAACTTTTAGAATATTTTTTTGCATTTCTGATATGAAGCAGAATCTGTGCTTCGTGGGCTGGTTGCGGGCTGTTTAATTAATATTTATTATTACTTTTATTTTGTTTCCTAATTTAATTTGTTTCCTAGTAGGATTTATTTAGGACTTCTATTCTTATTAGAATTAGAGGTTTCCTATTTCTATTTAGTTTCCTAGAATGATTTAATTAGGAGTTCTATTAGAACTAGAGGTTTCCTATTCTATTAAGTTTCCTAGATTAATTTATTTAGGATTCCTATTCTTATTAGACCTAGAGGGTTATTTATACCCCTTGTATGCTTCATTCTTGATAATCTTGGAATAAAAGTTGGTTTAGCCTTTTGGCTCTGGGCAACAGTATTTATTTATCGTTGATTATCTAGGCAACGGTTCACCCCGTTGATTTTATTTTTCTGTTTCTATCAATTTCGTCCTAAAATATTAGGTTTCTGATTATACAATCAACTTTTTAAAAATAAAATTAAGCAAAAGATAGTAATACTGTACATGTATGTCTGTAAAATTTATAAAAAAATATAATAACAGAAATTTAATTAAGAAGCATTTATATATAAAAAAGCGAATAAAAGTAAAATGTACTATTACTATCTTTCATCTTGTAAAAGAAAATTATAATTCTGTATATATTCTACAATTTAATATAAAGTGGCGTGTAGCATATAATGGGCACGCAACTATTTTTTTTTACCCAAGGAAGTAGGGTGTCGAACCGCAGAGAAGCGGGAAATAAAATAATTAAGCACAAACTAAGGATTAAAGTTGGGAGTGCGTTTCTTTTGATTTTTTTTGGTTGCTTGGAAAAGTAATAAAATAAAAGTGATTGAGATGAGAGATTTTTATCAACACAAAGTTCAACCAATAGTAAGTAGGGGTAGAAATTGGTAACTAATTGTTCAATGTTTAATTGAAAGAAATAATTGCTAATTTTATTCGTAGATAGATTGTGAGAAGTTGTGGACAAATATTTTAGGACCCAACACAAGTCATCTAAAATAAGTAACTAGTCAACATTTCCCAGTGATGGCCAAAACGAGACTAGTTGTTTAAGTACAACGACAACCTTAATTATTAACTATATTATTTACCCAACCCCGTGGTGTAAATAATATAATTAAATAATTAAATTCTCCCGTAAAACTTCAATCCGGGACAAGGTAAAAGAAGTTTAACGGTGTGTTCAGAAAGTGTTCATTTGTGTATTTAACAAACAATATGTTTATGATTGAGTACTCATAATATATATCACAAACATAACATAATTAATTTTCTGGACACAACAATCTAAATAGAACAAACTTAACAATTAAAATCAATACAAATTAAAACATGATAAGAACAATTAATTAACCAATTTCTAGCCCCAAATTTATTTAGCTATACATGTTGGGAAGCTTAGAAATAGATGAATTCATGATTGAAGTACAAGATTTAAAGAGATAAGGAAGATCAAACTTGTGATAGATGACAATCCTTGGAGCTTGGTGCTAATCTTGACTTTAATCTTGATTGAGAAAGTGATTAATTGATGTTGAAGATTGGTTGATGATTTGGAGATGAAGAATGAAGAGAGAAGGAGGAGGAAATGATTCTGGGAGGTGTAGAGAGAAGTTGTCTCGAGATTATGTGTGGAAGGAGATGGATTAAGCCTTCTAATGATAAGATAATTAATCATTAATTTGCTGGAATTTACGGACGTGAAGAGTATATGTAAAAGAAAACGCAGCAAAGTTTCAACAGTGCGTAACAGCCCAGCGAACGAAGTGTTTAAGCATGTAGCAGAGGTCGCGGGTTCGATTCTGGCTTCGGACTTTTGTTCCATTTTTTCTTTGATGTGGTCACAAGCAATATATAAACTGCCGGCTGATTGTGTACAACATTGGCAAGTTAGCTCACTGGTTCTGAATGGCTTTCCTCTACCCCTGGTTCAGGGATCGAATCCCATCTCTGTGTTTTCATATTTTTGCTTCTTAACTTCAATTTAGTCCTTATTTGCTTTGAAAGAAATTCCACTTTTATTGACCTCCAACTTGAACTTTTATTTTCTTCTTTTCTTCACACACAAATGTATCAAATAGTATCAAAAGTACCTGAAAATACAAAATACATGCATAGAACTACACATCGTACAAAGTAATGATAAATAATAAAAATATGTACAAATATACAAATTAAGTGACCAAAATTATTAACAAACTAAGCCTAAAAAGTGTGTAAAATATTAGGTTTCTGATTATACAATCAACTTTTTAAAAATAAAATTAAGCAAAAGATAGTAATACTGTACATGTATGTCTGTAAAATTTATAAAAAAATATAATAACAGAAATTTAATTAAGAAGCATTTTTATATAAAAAAGCGAATAAAAGTAAAATGTACTATTACTATCTTTCATCTGTAAAAGAAAATTATAATTCTGTATATATTCTACAATTTAATATAAAGATATATTTACTGATGTAAAATAAATGTTACATCATACATTTTTATTTATATCCGTAACAGTAGTTTAACATTTCAAACTCATTACCACTGCTTCTTTCACGGTTTTTATAGTTCTCACTCCCCTAACGACACAGCTACTTCTCCAAACTCACCTCCACAATTACAAACACATCACCTACACTGCTATCCCAAATTGAGCCCAAGGATGTGTCTGGAATTCACAAAATGCCAGGGAAAGGAAATAGGGAGGAATGTATTAGACAAAAATGAAGGAAAGAAAACGTCAAGGATAAACTTCATATTAGACATTTAGGCGAATCATTTAATTTTAATATTTGTTTGAAATCAATTTTATTTATTTATTTATTCATATATAAATACTAAGTAATCTGAATACTTACAAATATTATTAAATCATCCATACATATTTCATTTACTTTGGCATTTTCCAAGGTAAATCCAAACATATCAAAATGATTCATCTTAGTACGTGTTTTCTTTCCTTTCTCTAGTATATTCTGGGATTCGTACATAGCGTAAGGATCTGGGATGAACTCCTGATGCCCCCCCCCATTGGGGGTACATTCCGAACTTGGATAACTTATACTGCATATATATGTTTTTTCCCTTGATATAGCCAGTTTTTTTTTTGTGCAGTTGAACATAGAGATATGAGTAAAACAAGTTAGGATATTGTTCTCATTGGAGTCACTAAATGTTTTGGGGGAATTTTTTAAAGAAGGCACACACTAAATATTACAATGAAAAACTAACCCCAAAATTTACAGACAAATATGTACATCACTAATATGACACTTAACAGAAGCTCCATTTTATCCACTCTCAAGTAACAATACAAACTACTCTAGGGTTGAAACAAAAATGACTTTGGTAGGATTTCACAAGGTTATGTATTTACAAGGTCACCAAAAAAATTAGTAACAAGTGAAGTAAGTTATTTTACACTTGTACATTGAAAAGGCTCAAACAGGGTTACTAGGGAAAGTGTTATTTATTTACAAAGGGACAGTGTTTGGCTTCATGGGTAAACAAAGATGGCCTAAATCATTTCTAATGTGTCAAGTTCAAATTAAATTTCAAGGAGAATAAATGTATAAACATCTTAAACTGCATAAACTTTCACTAATTCAACTATTAAACCAATAAATTGTGAAAAAGAATCAAGTTCAAAGCTCATACTAAGTTACTCTCAAAAAATTACAGTGACACTTATCAAACTCGAACCACATTTTGTCAAAAGAGGTGAATGAATAATTTAAAAAAGTTATGGAGGTAACTAGTAACAAAAAGTGTAAACTAGTGTGTTGCTAGTCTATTGTTGCATTTTGGACAAGACTGGTCTTTATTCACAAACAAAACACACAAAAAAAATAAAACAAAATCACACAAGCACACAAGGAAAAAAAAAATATTCACACAAGAAATCAGGGTCGAACTACCCACTCCCCCACACTTAAAATTTGCACTGTCCTCAGTGGAAAAGAAATTAAAGGAGTGTAAAGAAAACTTCCCTGAAGCGCGGCCGAATCTGGAATTGTTTATCCGCATGACGTTTGGAGATCCCTTTGAGCGGATGTGGCCCCTTTAGAGTCCAAAGAAATAAAGAAAACCTAGACTAATCTTTTTTTTGTCTTTCTTTTTTGTTTTTGACTTTTTTTTTTTTTTGAGAAATTTACAAACTTGGGTTGCCTCCCAAGAAGCGCTCGTTTAAGGTCATTAGCTTGACCCATGCCTTTCATTCATATTCTGGATCAATGAGGCAATACACAGAAGTTGCCTCTTGTCTCTCACTTTGGGTGCTTTTCCTTTGATATTCAAGGATTGATCTTCAAGGTTAAGCACTTCAAATTTAAGTGCTTTAGGCATTGGTAAAAATATGCTTTGCAACATTTCGAGACATAAATTCACCATTTCATTGGCTTGCTCATCTGCAATAGATTCTTGTATGGTGTACTCCATGGGATCTTTAGAAAGCCGATACGACTCATCAAATGTATTAGTAGTACAAGAGTCTATAACATCAGCATAGTAACCATCAAGGACACAAGGTGTATCCTTACTCAGCTCTTGTACATTGAATTCGATCTTATCATCCCCAATCTCAAGGATAAGGGTACCCTTTTTGACATTGATAATAGCTCCTGCTGTAGCTAGAAAAGGTCTCCTGAGAATAACAGGAACTCGGGCATCTTCTTCCATATCCAAGACAACGAAGTCTCCTGGGATATAATACTTGTCAATTTTGATAGGAACATCTTCAAGAATACCGATAGGATATTTGACAGATCGATCAGCC